CATTCTCTAGACACACATTTGCACAAGCTCTTTCTTCTGCGTGGTGATTGGCAGACTCTGCTCAGAGACCCCCTCCTCCAGGAAGCTTCCCCTGACTCCTGGCTCTGCTTGCTCCCTGTATTTCTCCAACTTGGTGTTGGTGGTGGATGGGAAAGACAGAACTTTGCCCTTCCTATATGGTCAGGACTACCATGAGGAAGAGGGAGTCATGGCCACAGAAAGATGGGACATCAGGGACAGACAGAGAATAAGTAGCATAGCCCTAGGCTAGACACGCAGGATGATTGCAATGGGAGCCTGTTTAAAGATGGAGACATCCCCATTGGCCCAGACCCCTTCATGCCAGCTGGACTGGCTTACACGGAGGTGCTGTGGGAACCACAGGTAGACATCCCGCATTGCCTGTCCCTCATCCCGAAAATCCCCTTAGATCTCCACTCCTTTCTGATAAGCATTGTCCTCCTATCTTCCCTGATCAACTGCAAACCATCCAAGAAGGGATATATACATGGAACAGCTACTTCGTGCTAGATCCCCCTTAGAGCTCAACCCCCAAGACAGCATCCAAACCCGATAGGCTGGTGAGCAGTCTAGGGCTGTATTGTAGGAGGGTATTCACGTTTCAATCCTCTATGTACACAAAGGAGGACCCTGAGGAACTCTGCGTTCACAAACACACATTGGAGGGATTACCTAGTGGGCTATTACCCAGAGCAAGTGGCCTGCTTTGCTCTGCGGGTAGCTTGGCGGAGAAAGTAATTTGAAATTCCTACTGTTAGAGAGACTGGGATAACTCAGGGTGCTTGAGTCTCTGCCTTGGCTCTGGGGTTGACAGGACGCTCCTCCAACAGGGCTGTAAGGGCGTGAAGGTCCTCAGAGCTCACTTGGCACTTTGACAGATGGAGAAACTGAGGCCCAGAACTGGATAAGGGCTTGCTCAGGGCTACAGAGCAGGGTGATGGGCCAGAGCTCAGGATCCCGGGTTCCCAGGCCCAGGTTCTCCCTAATGCCTCGGCACCTGGGTGTGGAAACGTTCAGAATTAAGTGGGAGCTGTGTTTTCAAAAGGTGCCAGTGACTTTACAGTTGGTTAAGTTGTGGGGAGGGAAGACTGAAGGGCCTCTCTCTAATAACTTTTGGAGTGGGGCTGCTACTTAAAGGATGATACATCTGGCCTGGAGGAGGGTGTACAGAGATGACCACACACACTCAGAACTGCAGAAATTCCCCGTTATTAGTTTAAAATCACTAAAACACACTTAAACACACACACATACACAACTGCTGTTTTCATTTAGCTGATTATTATACAAGTATTTCATAGTCATTGAAGCAAAATTAGAAAATACAAATCAACAAAAATCAAGCAATGTAATTCAGCCACAAGTTCACCTTGAGCAACAAAGAGGCAGTATTGCCAAGTGGTCAGGGGTGCAAGCACATGAGTCTACCTAGATCTGAATTCAGTCCTGGTTGTACTGCTTAGCAGCTGTGTGACCTTCAGCAGGTTGCTGAACTTCTCTGAGCCACAGTTTCCTCACTTATAAAATAGACTCTATTCTAGAAGTGGGGCACTTAGCCTCATGCCTGACATGTAACAACCACAAGAAAAGGCAGTTATGGTGATACTCTCCTGATGTGCGGTTTTCCAGACACCATCCCCATATTTTAAGACAAATGTTGAGAAAGAGAATTCATAGAATTGGACCAAGTAACCTTTGAGATCCTGTGTCTTTCAGCTTCTATGATTCCAACATGTCAGTGGGTTCTGGGGCAGGGGCCTTCTTGCCTCCAGGCCTCAGTTTCCATGTCTGTATTCTAAGCTCAGGGCTGAAGCAGTTACTCTCAGAGTCATTTTTGTCTGCAGGCGAGGCCTCGTGGCCTCCAGCATCAGCTGGACCATCTCTGTGCCCTGGCCCCCAGAGACATGCTGGATGGCCAGGAGGCCAGCCCAGGTTGCTGGTGACCCGGGCAGCTGAGTGCAGTCAGAATCTCTAGACCATGGTAAGCCTTTCCCATCCCACTTCCCCAGGCCCCCATGAGCTTTTCTAGACTAAGGCAGCATTGTGCACCGCAGCAGGCTAGCCAAGCCAAATAAACGGGTGCACCCAGCCCTCCCAGCTGAGCCACATCAAATACCAACTATAGGCCAATTACACCAAGGTGCTGAGACCCAGGCAGTGGGGGAGGCTTTCCAGGCCACAGACCCTTCCGGGCCGGGGAAGGAGGTACATAGAGATTCATCCACTTACTGACTCACTCACTCATTCGCTGCTTCATTCATTCAGTAAACTCACAGAGCATTGTCTAAATGTCAGGCATTGTGCTAGTGCTGGAGATTCAGACTGAGAGAAACAGCCCCTGCTTTCAGTGTGCTCTTGGGCTGGTGAGGGCATAAATCCCAGAGGTGCTGTCAAGATTCCAGCACTGCAAGGTGAGATCCAGAATAAAGCATGAACCCTTCTAGCTTGGGAGATCAGGGAAGACTGCCCCAAAGCAGTGGCCTTTGAAGAAGGCTATGCAGGGTGGGTAGGAGCCGGTCAGACAGAAAAGACAGGTGGGACATCCCTGGCAGAGGGTACAGCATGAACAAAAGCGGTGATTGGTGAGTTGATCCCTGAAATCACAGAGTGAGCACTGGAAAAAGACAAAGAGATCAACTTGTCCCACCCCTCATGTCACAGGGGGAGCAGCTGGCCACGCTCTGCAGGGGGAGGGACCTGAAACCGCGGCTACGGACGATGTGAATCATCAGGCTTAGCTGTCCAGAGCTTTGAGGTTCAGGGGCAACTGAAGATAGGTGTCCAGGCAAAGCCTGGCTCTTCCCGAGGGACCTGCAAGGAATCGTCGGTGTGTCTGGTTTTGTGTGCCGCTTTATTTGGTTAGTTAGCTATATCTTTACTAATGTAATAAGTACCCAGGAACCTGGAGCTCTATGCTACTTTTAGGTGGCACAGAGGGCAGGAGAAAAATACGCTGTAGCTTCCACGAGAGAGCTTTAGGGCAGATGTGAGGGAGAACTTCCTGAGGGTAGACTAAGTCAGCCAGTGGAACTAAGACCAGAGAAGAGGCCCCGACAGGACCCAGCTCTCTCCCCACCCTGAGCTCCCTCTGCAGGCCCACCATGGTGCCCACCTGCTACCCCTAAGGGAGCTCCGTATCCATGTCAATCATGAGAAGGGCTCTGACTTCTGGGGGCTCTTCTGGGGCCCACAGTGGTACAGATTTGGGACATGGACCTGTTTGGGAGTCTAATAAAGGCTGTCGACCCTGTCCCAGAAAAACTCTCCACCTGTCCAGATTTCATCTGCAGTGTCAGCCGTTCCTGGAGCCCCGAGACCTGTCTGTGGACCCCCGTGCAGAGGGAGGAAGCTCAGAGGCCTGAGTTCCAACAAGGGGCCCCACCACTCACCAGCTGTGTGACTTTGAGTCACTTGACAGCTCTGGGCCTCAGTTTCCCCGTTGTGAAAAGGGGAGGTAAGATCACCTTCCCCACAGTGTGTGGCAGGAAATTGATTAATGCATGGAAAGCACTGGACACAGAGAGGCAGAGGGTGCCTGTGTGTGTCCTCCCCTCCCTACTGAAGAGCAGGCTCTTCAGAGATAGCAAGAGACATAAAGAAAGAAGAAACACCTGCAAAAATTCCCTCCAAAGTGGAAGACCGAGGCTTCTGTTCACTCTTCAAGGTTTTCCAACCTTTCTACAAAGAACACAAGTCACTTGTATATAGAAAGGATATTGCAGGGGAGAGGAAGAACCGAAGAGGAATTATGAATAAGGTTGCCCATGAAGCCACACTAGGTGTGGTGGTTCCCCAACCCCTGACACCTCTTTGTGATGGCTCCTGTCCCACGCACAGCCCTCACTCTCACTCTGTATCTTTGTTCAGGTTGTTTCCTCTACCTGGCACTTCCTTCTGCTCTTTTCCACTTGAGAAACTCCTACACATCCATCAAAGCCCACCCCAAATGCCCCCTCTTCTCTTAGTTGGACAAGTTTGCCACCATAGCTAGCCTGCCCACAGGGCTTTGGTCTCCCTTCAGTCCAGGCTATACATTGCCCTGCCATTTGCCCTGTTTGTTGAGAGCTGAAACCAGGGTCATTGCCACCTTGCACCCTGCTCTGAGGTGCAGCTTTGTGACCTCGGGCAAATGTCAAATGGATGAATGAATGGGCAAATGAGTGAGTTTTCAATGTCAAAACTTGGGTGATCCCACTGCTCATTCTCAGGAGTTTTTGAGAAGATGAGCATAACCTGATTTCTTATCTTACTGTAAAGCCTGTGCTGGGCAGCACCAGCGAAAGAAGAGAGGAAGAGGCTGAGCAGAGGGACAAACTAACTAACTCAATTCTAACTGGCAGTGGCAGTGCTTCTGAACCTTTATTTCATTATCGCTCCCACCCTCCAGGATCCTTTTTTTTTTTTTTTTTTTTTGCGGTACGCGGGCCTCTCACTGGTGTGGCCTCTCCCGTTGCGGAGCAACAGGCTCCGGACGCGCAGGCTCAGCGGCCATGGCTCACGGGCCCAGCCATTCCGCAGCATGTGGGATCTTCCCAGACCGGGGCACAAACCCATGTCCCCTGCATCGGCAGGCGGACTCTCAACCACTGCGCCACCAGGGAAGCCCCAGGATCCTTTATAGACAGTTTTTCCCAATCCCTTCCCACGAAAACATTGTAATACCCCAGATATACTGTATGTCTGTTTAAGTACCGCACATATATCTATAATTCAAGATTTTTTCATATGTTCTCCCTGAGCCAGTTTTTGCCCCCTGGAGGGCAATATGGCCCCTATGGGAATGCCTGCTCTAGGGTGGGCAGTCATCTGTATTATCACCTCTAGCCTTCAAAACAGCCTGTGGGGCCGGCACCACTATCCCCATTGTACAGACTTGTAAACTGAGGCACAGGTGTTAGTTGTGAGTGGCGGGGCTGGGATGCACAGCCCGGACTTTCAGGACACAGATTCCTTGACTTGCCTATTGCCTTGAGGGAGATGACAGGCAGCTGCTTGCTGGTCAGAGCCCTAAGCTGAGAGTCAGACCCTCCAGGCACTTCCTGCTTCTGGGCCTCAGTTTCCTCCTTCTAAAGTAAGGAGGGGGGCCTCAGTGTATCCTAAGCACCCCTGAGGCTTCAAGCCTCTGAAAGGGAGGCTTTGGAAGCCAGGGACACTGGGTGGCCTCCTGCATGCTGGGAGAGGTCCTATCCACCAGGTGGGAGCTGCTGGGGTCAGGCGGAGGGAGGGGATGGCTGAGCTGCCGGCCCCAGAGACGGAGCCGTCTGCTGTGCTCCCGGCTGGCGGCTTCCCAGGGGGTGCTCGGCTGGGAGCCTGGCTGGCCCCAGCTTTCCCCAGGGCCTGATAAACCAGAAAAAAGAAAGCATGCTGTGAAGGGAAGGAAGCACCAGCAGACAAAGGAGGGAAGGGCACGCTGATTCCATCGGCTCCAAACCCTCAGCCACCCTGGCGGGCTGGGCAGGGCAGGACGTGCAGACAGGGGGCCTGGGGAGCTGGCGGCAGGATGCTGGGAGCCGGCTGCCCGGTGATCACTGTGCCTGCCTGTCCTAGTGTCCAAGCTGGCTGGGGTGGGGAGAGGCCCCAGCACACTGGCCCTTCCGTCCCACTGGAGCCTCCCCACAATTATCCCCATGCACAAGTGGTATCTTGAAGCCTCTGACAGGGGCCAAAGTCCCACAGCCAGTCAGTGGAAAGCCAGGCTGGGATCTGGTTCTCTGGCTCTGAGCTCCAGGCCTCTTCCACCCCATTCCTCACCCAAGTCTGCCAAAACCTGATGCTGTTTTCTGAGGAGGGAGGGAACCACTCAGAACACAGAAATCCAATAGACCCAGCTCACGAAGTACCAGGCATTTTCTCTGTTATCTGAGCATCTTCGCAGGGCCCTCTGAGGTTGACTGGGTTATCATTCCTCCTTTACCGATGAGGAAACTGAAACCTAGGGAGGTTAAGTAACAAGTCCATGCTCCTAACAGCTGGGCCTCTACAAGGTCCTCTAGGGAGCCTGCTGTCCCCTTGTCCCCGGGCTCCAGGGCTGAGAGGTGGAGGCCCCTGCCCCTGAGCTAGGCAGCCTTCCCTGACGGTTCAAAGGGGAAGGGCTGAGAGGTGGAGAAGAATAGCTAGCCTTTTTTTCTAAAATCAGTAACCAAAAAAGATATCCTAAAACCTGCCAACAGTAGGAGAAAAGGAGTGCAGCCTGGCCTGGCTCTGGCCCTTCCTCAGGGACCCAGGGGGATGAATGACACATGGATGGACTGGGAATCTGCAGGTAGGGGCACGGCGCCCCCCTCTGCCACTTACATCCAGCTGCTCCATCCACAAGGCAGGGCAGCGCACCCAAGCTCGCCTGGCCGGAGGCTCTGGGCAGGACTGGTCTCGGGCTGGGTTCAGTGTGAAGTTTCAGCCCGAGGCTATGCCGGCTGCAGCTCACACACCCACCAACCTAGATCCCTGGGGACCTTCCTCAAGGCCTCTGACCTCTCTCAGATGCCTCCCAAAGTCAGAAATGAGGCACTGGGATGAGTGAAAGAGGGGAGGAAGGAGAGTCAACCTAAGGGGCATTAACAAGCTAGTCAAGTTTTTGGCAACTGGGCTCTACCCTGCTGGGGCCCTCAGAGGGAAGAAGGTAGCTCAGGTTGGAAGGAGAATATTATCCATTTATTCTCATCACCTGGGGACAAAGGCAAGCGCTCAGTGGGCTGCAAGGCAAGGGGCCGTCACTTGACACCTGTGCAGAGCTAGTTTCCCTGGCAGGAGCTGGAATACAGAGGTAAGCCGAGGGGATGTGAGGTTGGGCTCGAGAGGTGCCTGACACCATGTACCCTGAGGCACCCCCTTTCTCAATCAGTGGTCCCTGGGCCAGGGGGACCCAAGGACGGGTCAGACTTGACGCCTCCCCTCTAGGAACTCATAGTTCCTCGCCTACATTCTCCTCAGACCCATCATTCACACAGCATCTCCTGTGTGCTGGGAGCCATCAGCAGCCCTAGAAGACAGACATCATCTCCATTTGATGGAGGGGCACACTGAGGCTCAGGGAGGTTATGAACCTTCCCGCAGTCTCACTCTAAGCCTGAAGCCTTCCCAAGGTTTCTGGTGGGGGCAGGAAGTACTGGAGAGCCTTAGAGAAGGGAGGCTGCCTGGGGGAGGTGGTGCTGGGTCTGCTCCTTGGAGGCCATGCACACCTCACCCCCGACTGCTCTCTGTGCCCCATGTCTTCCCACAGTCACGCCACGTGGAGTCCCTAGGAGCATCTCATGAAGCCCTAAAATCACAGCTCATCAGGCTGGAAGACCCTGAGGGGCAGCTGACTCAAGTCATCAGCCACCTTCCTGTGACAAAGCTGAGGTCCAGAGAGGAACTTGAGTGCCCAAGCTCACACAGCATGAGGTGGAAAGCAAGGGTAGGAGCCCAGGGCTCCTGACTCCCGGTTCGGTGCTCCATCCCACACAGCTAGCACGGGCCATGTTCCCCAGGGCCCTGTCTCCACTCTCAGGAGTAGAGCTCATCAGGGCACCTCACATCTGTACGTTTTTTTCTTGTTCTATGGCTGAATCTCCTTCCTGGAGTGCACTGGACTCAAAGCAGAACGTTGCAGGGAGCCCAGAGACCCTCAGTGTGGTTTGGGGTACAGGAGGGGCCGTGGGTGAGAAGAGGGCAGCAAGGCCGGGCTGTCGGACCCTGCATATTACAGATGGGGAAAAAGTGACAGGTTCCTCCCTCCTCCCCTGCCACCCAAATGCCCCCAGACAGGGCACTGGGTAGAAGACCCTCACTCACTGGGACCCTGGGATACAGAAAACGGGGTTGGTGACCTAAAGTGCCAGAGATAGGGGCCGGGGGAGAATCCAAAACACAGAACAAACACACAACCACCCCCAAAGGAAAAGTCCAGGGTCTGAATTTTAAACAGGAAGAACTAGGCGTCAGACTCAGAGGAAGATAACAGGGCCCGGCTGAGCAAAGAAACAACAGAAAAAGACTGAGCAAAGCTGGGGGAGGGAATTCCTGCCTGGAGCCTGGGACCTTCCCAGCTCTCCCTTGTCCCCAGGGTGCAGGAATGCTGGGGTCCCAGCTGCCACACAGTGACAGGGGCACAGGCCCACCGAGAGCACTGTGGGAGGCCTTCTTGGAGAAGTGCTAGGGTATGCAGGAAAGAACATGGGATTGTTGGCCAGCCAGACCAAGACGGGAATCCTTGGGCAGGTGACTTTCTGAGCCTCTGTTTCTCCTTTTGGACAGTGTGACTAAGAATACATACCCTGATGACATAGACTAAGGGAGACAGGAATGGCCAGGGCTGGCCACACAGTAGGGCTATTTTTTAATCATTGCAGAGATCCCAGGGCCCACTGGCCCAACAATGAAGTACTCTCTCCTCTTTGGGAAGCAACAAAGCTCGCAGGTCCTTGCCCTGTATGGGTCCTGGCAGCCTGGTGAATCAAAGACAGTCCTTATGGGGCCAGACAGACAACCTCTAACCTATTCGTTTGCTAGAACTACCATAATAAAGAACGAAAGACTGGGTGGCTTAAACAACAAAAACTTGTTTAAGCCTCTCACAGCTCTGGAGGCTAGAAGTCCAAGATCAAGGTGTCAACAGGGTTGATTTCTTCTGAGACCTCCCTCCTTGCCTTGTAGGTGGCTGTCTTCTCCCTCTGTTTTCTTGTGGCCTTCAATGTGTGTCTGTGCTACCGAATCTCTTCTCATAAGGACACCAGTCATATTGGATTAGGGCTCACCCTAATGACCTCCTTTTAACCCAGTTACCTCTTTAGAGAACCTCTCCCCAAATACAGTCTCATTCAGAAGCACTAGGTGTTAGGACTTCAACATATGAAAGGGGGCGGAGGGGACACAATTCAGCCCATAACACCCACCAACTTCCCATCTGCCCCACCACCTTCCCATCTGCGCCACCACCCCACTCTTCTCTGGGGTCCATCCCAGAGCCCTCCGCACTGGCACTGGATGGGGCTGTAACCGTCCTGAAGTCCAACTCCTCTTTCTCCAGAGAGGGTAAGTGATTATCCCAGGTGACACAGCAAAGGAAAACATCCAGGTCCCCGGAGGAGGGCACATCCAGAGAGAAGGCGATTGAAAGAGGACAGTCTCCAGTCCCTCAGCGGAGGGCACCCACAGTTGAAGCTGTCATATTGCTGTGTTCTGCCAGCTCAGAAAACTGTGGGATGGAAGACTTTGGTGAGGGCAGGGAGGGGACATACGTCAGCCTACCCCTTCTCTGTGGAGCCAGAAAGCAAGCAGCTCGTGTTGACGTGCGCCTCCTGCGTGCGGACGCTTCTCAAAGTGCTTCACGTGGGTTGACTTGTTGAAGTCTCACAGCAGTCCTGTGGAGTATGTGACAAGTCTTATAAGCATTTGCAGGAAGGGAAAACTGAGGCCCAGAGAAGTTAAGTAACTGGCCCATTGTCACACAGGCTGACAGTGCGTGTGTGTGGACTCAAGCCCAAGCAGTCTGCCTCCAGGGATTGTGATCTCGGTGGCAAAGATTTACGGCGGGGGAGGTGGCATGGGACAACCCCTAGGCTGGTCATCTGGCCTGGCACTTCCATCACTTGCTGGGGGCCCTTGGGCCTCAGTGACCCCACCCGTCATAGGACACGTAAGATCAGATGCCTTGTGTCCAAGGCTAACTACCCCCTTCCCTCTTCCCTGCCCCTTTGAGGCCCTCCTCAGGTCCAGAAGAGTAGTCCTGAGCCGCACTGCCATGGAACAAAGTTGCCTCTTGGGGACTTGGGGTCTAGAGGGCAGAGCAAGGAATGAGGCCAGCCCTAGCCACAGGTGCCTCTGTGCACTCTCCACCACTGCATGGCCCACACTGAAGTGGCCCCGGCAGGAGGGGCAGCACTCTACAGACGCAGCAAAGTGGTAGTCTTTTTTGGGGAAAGCCATCCCCAGATCACGGGGCAAGAGGCCTCATGAGCTGGCAGAGGAGGGCTTGGGTGCAGCTTCTCCCCCAAGACCCTGCCCAGGTCGCCCCCTAGCTGGCATTTTCAGGGGACAGACCTCACCTCCGGAAGGCCTCCTATGCGTCTGGCTCTATTCCCAGCCTCCCACCCGGGAAAGAAGCCTGGAGGTAGGAACCTCGGGGTGTTACACTGTCTGTCACTTAAACTGCTCGGACCCATAGCGGCTGCCTCACCAAACCACAGTATCCTCCAGATTCTCCACAGCCGTGAGGGGTGAAAGGGTGCTGCACATAAACCTTTGGTGACAAGGTGAAATGTTACTGAAATATTGGCAAGTGAAGAAAAGAGAAAACTGTATAAAACAATATGTACAGGCTTCCCTGGTGGCGCAGTGGTTAAGAATCTGCCTGCCAATGCAGGGGACACGGGTTCGAGCCCTGGCGCAGGAAGACCCCACATGCCACGGAGCAACTAAGCCCGTACGCCACAACTACTGAGCCTGCGCTCTAGAGCCCACGTGCCACAACTACTGAGACCACGTGCCACAACTACTGAAGCCCACGCGCCTAGAGCCCGTGCT